CCCAGGGGGACAGCTTGAGGCTCTGTCTCAAAAAAAAAAAAAAAAAGAAAGTTATCTTTTGAGTAGTAGTATCACACTGGAATTTGCATTCCTCTCAAGGTCCTTACCCTCTTTTTCTTTTCCCATAGACACGAATGAACTGAAGACGATCCTCCGAGAGCTGCAGTACAGGGTGGGCATTCAGTCGGCAAAGCTGCTCCGGCAGCTGAAGCAGAAAGACCGACTCCTGCATAAACGGCAGAGGGACTGTGACGTGGTGACGGCCTGCCTGCAGGCTGCCTCGCAGAAGAGGCGTGAGTACCAGGGTGGGCCTGGTCTTCACCACTGAGCCCAGTCAATAGTCACTGTGTTTTGAACATATTGGAGAGTTGTAAGTGTGAGCTTACCCCTCAGAGAAGGAGGAGCAGCTGAGGCAGTGTCCTGTTAAAATGTGGGGTGGTGCCTGTGGCTCAAAGGATAGGGCGCTGGCCCCTTATATCAGAGGTGGCAGGTTCAAACCCAGCCCTGGCCAAAAAAAAATATATATATATGTGCATGGCAGGCCTAATGTTACACTTTAGTTTTATTCTAGATTGCAGATAATTGCTTTGACGATGATTATTTTCAGCTGATGCTAAATAATGACTGTAACCTTTATTTTGAAAATAGCATCAAACAGACATACTTACCAGGGTGACTTTTTCTCCTATTCTGTGTTACTCCAATGAGTGAGTGAAACAGTAGACTTAAAGAAGGAGATGCTTGTAACAGGATCTCACGTCTTGCTCTGCAACCTGAGAATGACAGATTTTTAACAAAACACGTCTCTTGAGTGATCCACTCCTAACTGATTCGTGGTTTGTTAAGTTAAAAATAAATTGTTAAATTATCGATCTGTGTTAAATGCTAGACATAACAGCCTGTGAGTTAATTATGTAGTTCTCCATGTGATAATCTTACCTTTGATTCTGCTAACATCTCCTTTTTTTGCGTTCTTCACTGACATGCAGCGTGGCAGAGCAGTGTGCTCAGGTACGGTGACTGCAGGCGCTGACGACAGGTTTTCATGACGTGCCTGCCGGGCTCGTCAGGTGCACGCGAAAGTCGGCTTTTCTTTCTTATTATGTCACATTTTTATGTGAAGTGACCCTAATGTGCTTTTAAAAGACGTTCCAATGTAAGATGTGTTTGTTTTCATGAAATAATTTTTAGGGCTTAGTTTCAGATAACAAAATTAATGGCTTAAATTTCACCTCTATGTTTGTTTTTAAAAGAAAATCCCATGTTTTCTTGCTTGTCTTTTATTATGTTGCTGTTTGTTATCCCTAAATTATTATTCATGATTAAGGAAGGTTCCATTTAAAGGGTATTAAGCAGGATGCTACTTGATCGCCATGATAATATTACTATGAGCCCCATACCATGTGGGAATGTGAGATTTAAGTAGCCCCCGCTTCCAGCACTTGTCAGAAATCGCTAGAGAGGGAAGAAGGACGAGTATGGGAGTGTTATCTATCTATCTATAAAAAGTTGACATATACTATGAATACATGATAGTTTTCCATGAATTCTGATTGATTAAAAAATGTCAAGTAAAAATATTTTCCATATTTGGCTGCTGTAACTCAAACACCTATAATCCCAGCATTCAGAGAGGCTGAAGTGGGAGGATCACTTGAGCCCAGGAGTTTGAAACCAGCCCAAGCAACAAAAAGACCTTATCTTTACAAAAAAAAAGAAAATTAAATGGGTGTGTTGGCGCATGTCTGTAAGCTTGGCTACTTAGGAGGCTGAGACAGGAGGCTCTCTTGAGCCCAGGAGTTTGAGGCTGCTATGAGCTAGCATGATGCCACAGCACTCTCGCCCAGCTGACAGCTTGAGACCTTGTTTTTTTAAAAAAAAAAGAAAGTTACCTCATCTGTTATGGGATACCTCGATTTTGAATTTGTTCCTCTCAACTGTGTTTATATCTTACCCACTGTACTTGTGTGTACTGTGTCAGAAGCTAACGGCGCAGAAAGGCAAGTGTGTGGGTTTGTGGTGTGTGGGAAAGTTCGAGGGAGGGGGGAGCAGTGTCTCGAGACAGAGATGATGGGGCTGCTCAGGGTCCTGGTCGGTGGGGTGTGGGGTAGTTACTAGGCGCTGGTAGTCATCTGGAATTTAAATATGTTTGATATAAGGATTTGGCATTTGTATCTTTTCAGAAAATCTGCCCACAAGCGCCCAGCTCAGTCTGAGAATTTGTCAGGGCACACCCTTCCTGTGTATTGGAGTTTGACTCTCTAATTCCAGCCAGGATTTTGCATTTCAGAGAATGAGGTTGTCTGGCTCCTTTCCTGGAGAATTCAGTTCTTTTCTTGATATTAAGACTAATATGTGGAACAGAATGTTTTTTTGTTAAGAAATAATTGATTAGAATTATTCTTATCATATGATACTGTATTATGATGTAGACAGTGTAAAAAAGTTGACTGGTTCTTTATCCATTTTAGAACTCCAGAGTTAGATGATTTATAACTATGCCTGATTCCATTAATTGTACATTTTGTCTCTTTCCTCAGAGTCAGCTAATAATATAATAAATACATTTAATTAGAGATCTAAACAATTGAGATTTTGGCTCGGAGCCTATAGCTTAGCAGCTAGGGCAATGGCCACATACAACAGGACTGGCGGGTGCAAACCTAGCCCAGGCCAGCCAAACTACAATGACAACTACAACAAAAAAAATAGCCAGGTATTGTGGCGGGCGCCTGTAGTCCCAGCTACTTGTGAGGATGAGACAAGAGAATTGCTTAAGCCCAAGAGTTTGAGGTTGCTGTGAGCTGTGACGCCACATCATTCTATGAGGGCGACATAGTGAGACTCTGTCTCTAAAAAAGAAAAAAAGAATTGAGATTTCACTGTCATACTGAAGAACCGAGCTTTAAACTTAGAAGTGATTGGAAATGATGCATTCAAACTGAATCCGATGACTTGTTTGCATTTAATATGCAAAAGCCCAGGCAATCCCACCGTTGCTTATATGGAGTTGACGCTATGGTTCTTTGCGTGACTTTTCCCCTCCCTTAACATGCTATAGAATAAAAATATTTTAGTATTCTATTAAAATGGATTTTTCCTGTTAATTGCCAAGGGGAATATAATAATATTTAAATAAGACTCAAGAGTGCGGATTATAAACCAAAATGACTAGATCATTTTTATTTCCAACACAAATGACATCCCTACTCAGCCTGTATGACGTCCTATGCCAAGCTTTATTGTAGTATCTTTTCATTTTAAAACTGGGGTGGGAGAGTTCAAGACCAGCCTGAGCAAGAGCAAGAGACACCATCTCTACTGAAAATAGAAAAAATTAGCTGGCCACTGTGGCGGGCACCTGTAGTCCTAGCCCCACCGGAGGCTCAGGAGTTTGAGGTTGCTGTGAGCTATGAGGATGCCACTGCACTCTAGCCAAGGTGACAGAGTGAGACTCTATCTCAAAAAACAAAAACCAAAACCAAAACCCAACCTCCCCGCCCAGAAAGTGGGTGGGAATAAGAAAAGCAAGGTCAATATGTGGTTTATTAAAAAATTCTCAGATACATGAAAGTCAAGAAACCCAAAATATGTGTGGACCAAAACAAATGAAGCCCTCCAAGCAACACTGATAGGCCGGGCAAGTTGGAATTGGCACAGGTGAATCAGAAAGGGCGCTGCTGACTGTGTTTCTTGGAAGCGAAATAACAGACCGGAACACAGTCTGTCTCAAAACTTTCGTAGTGACCCATGTATTTGCCTCATAGTTTTTCTCTTCTCTTTATACTTCTGTTTTTTCCCAAGTTTCCATCAGTGTGTTACACTTTAACACTTTTTATTAAGATACAATTCACAGTTCATAAAATTGTGCCACTGTGACCACTGTGATTCCAGAACATTTTCATTACCCTGTTAAGCAGTTCAGCTTTGTCCTGTAATGTCATGACACTTCCCTGCTTCTTGGGAGCACTTCCAGCTTCACTGGTGGCACTGTGTTTGGGTCCCATGGTGTCATTTGAGGTTTATGGTATTGCCCTAAACACAACGAAAAATACACGGGAACTGTGAGAGGTCATGTTTTACGGTGGTGCACACTTTACTGGGGAGACAAGCTGCTAACTGCCTGCTGGGTGATGGTCAGCAACACGGCCGGGAGATGGGCGGCATCACGGCTTTCCACATGGGTCTCTCAGCCTGCTGGGAGATGGGCGGCGTCACGGCCTTCCACGTGGGTCTCTCAGCCTGCTGGGAGATGGTCAGCATCACGGCCTTCCACGTGGGTCTCTCCACACCTGAGCTCTCTGAAGTGGCATCTGGAGGTGGCTGCAGAATTCCTGCAGCGGCACCGCGTGTACTGTAATTGATTAGTGCAGATTAATACTGCATCTGTACACTCGCTCCCATTTCCCTCACCTGCGGGTGACACGTGCATGGTCTGCGTTTGTGTTAGTTTTGATAAATTTTAACTTTTTATAATTAGTGTGTATTTTATGGTAGTAGATGATAAAATTTATTAGAATCTACATATATTTTATGTATTCATGACATACCTATTTTTTCTTATTTTTTGATATTTCTTTTTTAAACTTCAGATTAATGTGAAGGAACAGACGATTAGGTTACACTGTGTTTGTTAGGTAAGGTCCCTGTTGTAGTTGTGCCCCTCACCCAGGAGGTGTGCCGCACATGCTTACACTGTGCCCATTGGGGGAGGCTCACTCTTTGGATATGTCTATGCTATGCAGTTCATCTTTGAGTGTTTTCTTATTTTTTTTTTTTTTGAGACAGAGTCTCACTATGTCACCCTTGGTAGAGTGCTAAGGCATCACAGCTCACAACAACCTCAAACTTCTGGGCCCAAATGGTTCTCTTGCCTTAGCCTCCCAAGTAGCTGGAACTACAGGCACCCGTCACAATGCCTGGCTGTTTTTTGGTTGCAGTTGTCATTGTTGTTTAGCAGGCCTGGGCTGGGATCAAACCTGCTAGCTTTCCTGTATGAGGCTGGCACCCTACTCACTGAGCTACGGGAGCTGAGCTATCTTTCAGTTTTTTCAAATTGTTGCAAGTCTCAAAATATCTTCCCAACATACATTTTTGGAAAAAATCTGTTTATAAGTGGATCCTTGTGATCCAAACGTGTGTTCTTCAAGAGTCAACTCTGTATGTGACTGTGTGTGTGTACACACGTGTATAGAGAGAGGTTGGGGTTCGGTTTGCCGATGTCTGTTTGTGAGTGTGCATCTGCGTGCGTGTGTGAGACCAGCCTGTGATTCTCCTCCTTCCAGTGTTCTCA